CATTCAAGGAAGGAAAACATGGGAAGGCACGGGAAACGAACAAAGGAAAAGGAAAAATGTGTTCAACATTGTTATGACCAGGGAAGCTGGGTACATTTTTAGCTCACCTGAGCAAAAGGCTCAAGTGAGCTTTTCTGATCAAAATTTGTTCCTTGTCTGTGGTCGTTGTTGTCGTCGTAAACTTTTCACATTTTCATCTTTTTCTCAAGAACCACCTGGCCAATTTCAACCAAACTTGCCACAAGTATCCTTGGGAAAAGGGAATTCAGGTTAATAAAGGAACACCTTATTCCAAGGGGAGATAATTATGAATTAGTGAAAAATTAATGGCATTTTTAAAAAATCTTCTTCTCAAGAACCACTGGGCCAAGAAAGTGATGTGGAAGCATCCTCAGGTAGTGTAAATTCAAGTTTGTACAAATCATGATCCCCCGGGGTAGGATGGGGCCACAATGGCCTATCAACGTTTTACATACATTTGTAGGAGTATATAGGGGAAATCTTTAAAAATCTTCTTCTCAAGAACCACTGGGCCAGGAAAGATGAAACTCATGTGGAATCATCCTCAGGTAGTGTATATTCAAGTTTGTTCAAATCATGACCCCCTAGGGGTAGGGCGGGACCACAATGGTCGATCAAAGTTTTACGTAAAAGTATAAAGGGAAAATCTTTAAAAATCTTCTTCTCAAGAACCACTGGGCCAGGAAAGATGAAACTCAAGTGGAAGCATGCTCAGGTAGTGTAGATTGACTAGATTCAAATTTGTACAAATCATGACCCCCAGGGGTAGGATGTGGCCACAATGGCTGATCAAAGTTTTACATAGGAATTTATAGGAAAATCGTCTTCTCAAGTACTTCAAAGCAATGATTAGTGATAGTATAGGCAGAAAATGTTTCTAAAAATCTTTTTATCAAGAACAGCAAAGTCATATGCTATATTAATATGAAGGCATTCTAAAGTAGTATTAAATTCAAGCCACCACCTCCCCCCCCCCCCATTTTCAGTTAACTTTTCAGTTCTGATCTGATTCGTGTTTTTTTTCCTAGCCGATTTGCTCAGGTGAGTGATGTCGCCCCTGGGCCTCTTGTTATAGTTCATTCCATAAAACAATTTAAAAAAAGAAATGAAGGAAAAAGCATTTCTGCTTGACCCATTTCCAAAGACTCCCTAAACAAACCAAAATTCGAACTGCAGTTATGAAAATTTGTATCTGTAGATCCATAATTACGCCAAAGAACCTTTAATCGAAGTGATTTCTGAAGTTTTAATAGAAAAAAAAGATGCTACTGATTTTCTTAATAGTATAAAGAAAGATTGGTCTTATTTTAGAGGGGGGAAGCCTTATATTCTTATAATTTTTTTTTGTAATTTTTTAAAGGAGTTCCCTACAGAAGGATCCTGATGTTCATAAAATTGTCTCCTCATTTGACGAAGCAGTACAGTTCAGTCTCAGTCCGGAAAACCGGAAACAGTTCGAGGCAGTCTGGGTAATGGGCGGACAAAATGTATTCCAGGTTTACCATCTACCTTCATTTTATTTGTTCAAATTTTTATCCCCTCCCCCTCTCCCTCTGTGTGTGTGTGAGGGAGGGTGTGAGAGGGTGTGTGAGGGTGTGTGTGTGGGTGTGTGTGTACATTGTCATGTAAATTTTGAATTTACCGGGTGGCAATAAATACCAAAAAATTACAACATGACTACTTACATCCACCCAGTATATTCAAAATTTACAACATGACAATACTCATGTATTATTTCTCAATCTTTTTGATTTACAAGAGTGTCGATTTATCTGAAGACTCATGGAGTTTTTTACATGTGTAACTTAATACGATGAAAAAAGAATAAATGTTCAATTGAAACTTTTAATATTATTCAAACAGAACTATCCATTTCTCTTTTAGGAGGCTATGCAAAGTCCTTTCTGTAAGAGAATATATTTAACAGAAATACTAGAGGAGTGTCCTGCCGATACATTCTTTCCGCATTTTGATGAAGAAAAATATAACGAGATCAGGTAAATACATAAAACGAGGGTTTTTTTAAGGAATCGAAGAATTTGGCTATAAATGACAGATTTAAAATACTAGTATATATTAATGTGCATGGATTAAAGAATATTTAGAATCAATGAAAACATTTTTTGTATGTTTTTGTACATAAGTTTTCAAAAATTATCAGGACTTTCTACCCTATAATACGTAAATTAAATGTTCTGTATACATGCACCTTCGGTAGTTTTATATCACGTTTTCTTTTTACAAATGTCCCTTTCGACAAAATGAGGACACAATTATCTTTTGTAAATATTCAGACTTATATCCTGTATCTTTCTTTGTCGTAGACAACGAAAAAGAGTTTTATAAAAATGTAAGGTGTATTCTTTTTTTCAGTTTATCAGAGGTGCATGAAGAAAACGGCGTTAAATACCAATTTAAAATCTACGAAAGAATAAAGAAATAACATACACGTTTCAATTTGTTATTATTTTTTTTACCACCAAGTCTACCTTACTGGAAAAATTACTTAAATTTGATCATGGATTGAACCCATATTTTTTTTTGATAGATAAATAAAAAGTAATTATTTTTTCTCAGTAAAGATTCTTTTTATTTTTTTTCTTCTGCAAAATCGATTCAAAAATCTTTTAAGAAAAAAAAAGATTTTTATATCCTTCCTATTTTGGAAAATCAATACGATGAAACACGCTCATGATAAAAAGCTATGGACGGACAATTTTACATCCTTATACATGTGTAAAATTAATGTAATTCGCTATGTCCGTTCAGCTACAAAACCAATATATTTTAAAAATCACTTCGTCATTTCGTTCTAAGCGTGTTTGCAATAAGCATGTTCTACTGTACACTGACAGACGTCATTTTATCGCTTAACACAACGACAGAATCATCCTTGTTAAGTGCCTTTCTAACTTATTAGCTCACCTGAGCCGAAGGCTCAAGTGAGCTTTTCTGATCAAAATTTGTCCGTCGTCTGTCGTTGTCGTTGTTGTCGTTGTCGTTGTCGTAAACTTTTCACATTTTCATCTTCTTCTCAAGAACCACTGGGCCAATTTCAACCAAACTTGGCACAAAATATCCTTGGGTGAAGGGGATTCAAGATTTTTCAAATGAAGGGCCACGCCCTCTTCCAAGGGGAGATAATTATGAATTAGTGAAAAATTAATAGCATTTTTAAAAAATCTTCTTCTCAAGAACCACTGGGCCAGGAAAGATGAAACTCATGTGGAATCATCCTCAGGTAGTGTAGATTCAAGTTTGTTCAAATCATGACCCCCGGGGCTAGGGTGGGGCCAAAATGGCCAACCAAAGTTTTACATCGGAATATATAGGAAAAATCTTTAAAAATCTTCTTCTCAAGAACCACTGGGCCAGGAAAGATGAAACTCATGTGGAATCATCCTCAAGTAGTGTAGATTAAAGTTTTTTCAAATCATGACCCCGGGGGCAAGGGTGGGGCCAAAATGGCCAACCAAAGTTTTACATAAGAATATATAGGAAAAATCTTTTAAAAATCTTCTTCTCAAGAACCACTGGAATAGGAAAAATGAAACTCATGTGGAATCATCCTCAGGTAGTGTAGATTCAAGTTTGTTCAAATCATGACCCCCGGGGCTAGGGTGGGGCCAAAATGGCCAACCAAAGTTACATAGAAATACATAGAAAAAATCTTTTAAACTCTTCTTCTTCTTAAGAACCACTGGGCCAGAAAAGATGAAACTCATGTGGAATCATCCTCAGGTAGTGTGGATTCAAGTTTGTTCAAATCATGACCCCCGGGGCTAGGGTGGGGCCAAAATGGCCAACCAAAGTTTTACATAGGAATAAATAGGAAAAATCTTTTAAAAATCTTCTTAAGAATCATTGAGAAAGGAAAAATGAAACTTAAATGAAATTATCCTCAGGTAGTGTAGATTCAAGTTTGTTCAAATCATGACCCCTGGGGCTAGGGTGGGGCCAAAATGGCTGAGCAAAGTTTTACATAGGAATATATAGAAAAAAATCTTTAAAAATCTTCTCAAGAACCACTATGCCAGGAAAGATGAAACTCATGTGGAATCATCCTCAGGTAGTGTAGATTCAAGTTTGTTTAAATCATGACCCCGGGGCTAGGGTGGGGCCAAAATGGCTGACCAAAGTTTTACATAGGAATATATAGGAAAAACTTTAAAAATTTTCTTCTCAAGAACCATTGGGCCAGGAAAGAGGAAACTTATGTGGAATCATCCTCAGTTAGTGAAGATTCAAGCTTGTTCAAATCATGACCTCTGGGGCTAGTTTTGGGCCCAAAATGGCTGATCAAAGTTGTACATAAGGATATATAGGGAAGCCTTTTAAAATCTTCTTTTCAAGAACTTCAAAGCCATGATTAGTGATATTTTTCTATTTATATGGAATCATCCTCAGGTATTGTAGATTCTACATTGTTCAAATCATGACACCCAGGAGGGTTAAAATTCAAGCCCCCCCCCCCCCCCAGTAAACTTTCAGTTTTGATCTGATATGTGCTTTTTCCTAGTAGATTTGCTCAGGTGAGCGATGTGACCCTTGGGCCTCTTGTTGAAATAAAATTCTCCTCTAATAGAAAGAATACTAAGATGAAAGGCCATCTCTCCCGAACTCTTCAAAGACATGGGTATTGAAGAATATTTACGCACATTAGTTATTACAGTAATTTTAAAAATGCATGAGGAACACCAAACTTGCGATTATTTCACCATTGAATTTTTTAAGCAGAATAATGCTATACATGTATACACACAATAATACCAATATCTGTATTTTCAATTTTTAACATTTTGCGATTATGTGAAAAGTGAAGTTGCTGTTGTGAAAAACAACTTAGTTGCATCAAAGCTAAAATTAGACCACAAGAATTACTTCATATTTATGATTACATTAAATTTTGCTGATATTTATTATTGCAAAATAGTCGTAGTATGGAAAACCTCTGACTTTATAACAACACCCCCACATTTTGATTGATCACAGACAAATGCTTCGCTGGAGCCATTGACATTAAGGTACATTGATACTCTGATAAGAGAGATAATCTTAATTTGTCAAGTTGAAGTGCCTTTTTTTGTCAAATTTTGCCCCGCAAGCCATGTTTTAAATGTTTGTATTTAATTCAGCATATATATTTCCTTTGAAAAATCATAAAAGCTAAAGAAAAATTTCATATGAGTGAGCAGAGGGTTTATGAACCTTAACCATACTTATAGTGCGACTTACAATGTATATATGCATACTGCGAAATTCAATTGCAAATGTTACTTTGAATTCTTAATTCCCTTGTTCAATTTTTTTTTCTATATGTATGTATATATGTTGTAATAGACGTTGTGTAATTATTATACCCCCCGCTTGAAAAGTGGGAGGGTATATAGTAATCGGTATTTCCGTCCGTCTGTACGTCCGTCTGTTACGCTTTATCTCTTATCCGCAACTCCTCTTATACTACTGAGTGAAATTTAATGAATCTTTCACAAAATCTTTATTACATATTGCCATTGTGCACCTCCTATTTTACTTTTTCATTCGACACGTATTTTAAGTTTCCAATAGCAAAACATGGACATAGCCATTATATGTTTACCTATGACGTCACATATAGAAGCTTCTGGATAACATTTGATAGGAGGAGTTATTCCTCTTTACACATTACCGTAAAACAATATATAGCAACACATGGACATTATGGAAGGCGGGGAGTATCATTTAGTGAGCTCATTGCTCACAGTACCTCTAGTTTGAAAAGAAATGCCTCGATGATTTCCGAGTATATAAAAAATGATAAAGATAAAGACATTTAAGATTAAATTTAATTGTTATACGCAGTGAATGCAAAGAAGTACAAATGGAATCATATAAAACAAGAGACCCATGGGCCACATCGCTCACCTGAGCAATGTGGCTGGGAAAAAAGCATAAATCAGTTTATTATTGAAAAGTTGAAACCCAACAGTGGTCCCAAACAATCCCTAAAAGAGAGAGGTTATTATATGATTAAACTTGAATCTACACTAGCTAAGGATAGTTGCATATTTTTTTGACTACCTGTGGCTTTATTTCCCTTTACATTTGAACTTACATTGTGGCCCCGCCGAACCCCCAGGGGTCATGACTTGAAAAAAAAATTGAATCTACACTACCTGAGAATGCTTCCATATGAATAGGACTAATCATGGCTTTGCTATTTTTGAAAAGAAGATTTTTAAAGATTTTTTCTACATGTTTCTATGTAAAACTTAAATTCCATGTTGTGACCCCGCCCTACCCCCAGGGGTCATGATTTGAACAAACTTGAATCTACACTACCTGAGGATGCTTCCATAAAAATATGATCATTAATGCCTTTGCGTTTCCAGAGAAGGTTTTAAAAGAATTTTTCAATGTACGTATTTCTGTGTGAAGATTTGAACGGCCTTTGTGGCCCCGCCCTACCCCCGGGGGTCATGATTTGCACAAAATTGAATCTCCACTACTTGAAGATGCTTCCATAAAAATAGGATCATTCATGCCTTTGCTATTCCAGACAAGAGGATTTTTAAAGAATTTTCCTATATATTTCTATTGAAAACTTTGATCGGCCATTGTGGCCCTGCCCTACCCCTGGGGGTCATGATTTGAACAAACTTGAATCTACACTACCTGAGGATGCTTCTCTACAAGTTTCATCTTTACTGACACAGTGGTTCTTTAGAAGAAGATTTTTAAAGAATTTTCCTATATATTTCTATGTTAAACTTTGATCGGCCATTGTGGCCCCGCCCTACCCCCGGGGGTCATGATTTGAACAAAATTGAATCTCCACTACTTGAAGATGCTTCCATAAAAATAGGATCATTCATGCCTTTGCTATTCCAGACAAGAGGATTTTTAAAGAATTTTTCTATATATTTCTATTGAAAACTTTGATCGGCCATTGTGGCCCTGCCCTACCCCTGGGGGTCATGATTTGAACAAACTTGAATCTACACTACCTGAGGATGCTTCTCTACAAGTTTCATCTTTACTGACACAGTGGTTCTTTAGAAGAAGATTTTTAAAGAATTTTCCTATATATTTCTATGTTAAACTTTGATCGGCCATTGTGGCCCCGCCCTACCCCCGGGGGTCATGATTTGAACAAAATTGAATCTCCACTACTTGAAGATGCTTCCATAAAAATAGGATCATTCATGCCTTTGCTATTCCAGACAAGAGGATTTTTAAAGAATTTTTCTATATATTTCTATTGAAAACTTTGATCGGCCATTGTGGCCCTGCCCTACCCCTGGGGGTCATGATTTGAACAAACTTGAATCTACACTACCTGAGGATGCTTCTCTACAAGTTTCATCTTTACTGACACAGTGGTTCTTTAGAAGAAGATTTTTAAAGAATTTTCCTATATATTTCTATGTTAAACTTTGATCGGCCATTGTGGCCCCGCCCTACCCCCGGGGGTCATGATTTGAACAAAATTGAATCTCCACTACCTGAAGATGCTTCCATAAAAATAGGATCATTCATGCCAAGTTGCCTTTGTGTTAATTACCTTGCATCAACTTTGACATTTTTATCTACTCGAATCATGAAAATAACGCAATATCTCTTTTTATTAAGTTTCATTTAAGTAAATTAAACAAATATCAAAAATGACCTTCATGGTAAATAACTCATTTTGTTTTAAATATATATAATTTACGTGACTGTAAATTTACATTCAATTTGCATAACCAATCCTCTATAAAATAAGCGCTCATTCAAACACATCAAAGTCGTTCTAGAATTTGAGGACGATAGTTCATCTGCCATGTGGAATACACGGGTTTTCTATTCATTTCTCTTTGTTTGGAGAAAATCATGTAGCTTTGAAAGCGAATCTATAAATAGTGATTACGCAACGGACAATATTGTAAAGAAACTCGGCGAAATAATGGAGCAATTCAAGACTTTGGAAACAAGGAACGGAGTCTTCGAGGGTGAAAATAAAATTCTAAATGAGAAATTAAAGGGATGTTTAGAGAGTTCGGAAATTCACAAAAATCTTTCCGTGGGAGAAATAAGTAATCAGGAAAATGAAAATGCAAAAGTGAAAGTAAACGTGAATACATTTCTATCTGAGATGAACCCCGATGACTTTAACAGCCGCTTACGTGAGGTTGAAAACAAAATAAACAGCGTTGCCATTTTATTCAATGAAACCGTGGATAAAATTAGAGAGGACCAGCTCACCACTGAAAAACATCTTTTGAAAATTACATGTGACATTTTTACGGGTAATTATTTACATGAGTAATGCTAATAATGATAAATTAAAATATACAAGGGGAAATTTGTTGAAATTAGCTATAGTTTACTTACCACTATTACGATTAATATTAAATTATCGAATTTCCCTATATACATTTATATTATTATTACCATGATTACAGTGTATACTCTAAACATAATTTCTTGAAAAAAGAACACAATATGTTTTTTTCTAATGCATAGCAACATTGAATCCATTTGATTGCTTGGAACTATACAACAAAGGGTGTGTTACCGGTGTCTATTCCATTTATCCCTGGAGTGTCAGTGACCGGTCACTCAGAGTTCTCTGTGATATGGACACAGCTGGCGGGGGTTGGACGGTATGTATGTTTTTAAATTGTTAATGTTGATATGTTTTTGACATGATACGTTTTTAGTCAGTGTGTTAAAATGATTTGTCATGGTGTATGTTTTGGTATGCTGTTATATTTGTAACAGAATCTTGATGTTTTTACGGGATCTTAATGATTGTTTTTGACATGATCAATATGCTTTTTTGTCAGGATGTTTATCTAAAGATTTGGCAAAAACCACTTTATACGTTCGGCTCCCTTCAATTATTAATTTTGACTGTAAATTGTAGGTTATCCAAAAGCGAAATGATGGTTCCGTTTCTTTTGCTAGAAATTGGACGGAATATCAGAAAGGATTCGGTCATGCCGAAACTGAGTACTGGCTAGGTAAGATGCTTACTCCTCTATGGCACCTGATCCCACTTCAGCATGTTGTTTTAGAGGTCTGTGTTTGCTCTTCTCATGATATTTACTTTTTGAATGGACTTTGGAGCTTAACTACTGTTCGTTTTCTCCTTCTTTTATACCTAAAATCAAAATGCAAGATTTTTTTTTTGAGTTTTACATGTTTTACGCAAAAATATTTTTTTTATTTAACCATTGATTTTTGCATGTTTACAAAGAATATTTCTGCAAATTCAATATTCAAACTTCTTGGGTGAATTTTTAGCTCTACTGGTCAGAGACCAGAAGAGCTTATGCGATAGTAATGCGTCCGTCGTCCGTCCGTCTGTCTGTCTGTCCGTCTGTAAACAATTTTTCAAAATGCTACTCCTCCTACAGTTTTGGTCTGATTTCAATATAACTTAGCACACAAGTAGACTACACTAAGATACATAATTCTGTGTATCGGTTTTTGAATTCGATGAACGGTGTTGCCGTGGTTACTAAAAATAGAAATTTCTGTGAAATTCTTTCAAAATGCTACTTCTCCTACAGTTTTGGTCTGATTTCAATATAACTTGGCACACAAGTAGACTACACTAAGATACATAATTCTGTGTATCGGTTTTTGATTTGGATGAACGGTGTTGCCGTGGTTACTAAAAATAGAAATTTCTGTGAAATTCTTTCAAAATGCTACTCCTCCTACAGTTTTGGTCTGATTTCAATATAACTTGGCACACAAGTAGACTACACTAAGATACATAATTCTGTGTATCGGTTTTTGATTTGGATGAACGGTGTTGCCGTGGTTACTAAAAATAGAAATTTCTGTGAAATTCTTTCAAAATGCTACTTCTCCTACAGTTTTGGTCTGATTTCAATATAACTTGGCACACAAGTAGACTACCCTAAGATACATAATTCTGTGTATCGGTTTTTGATTTGGATGAACGGTGTTGCCGTGGTTACTAAAAATAGAAATTTCTGTGAAATTCTTTCAAAATGCTACTCCTCCTACAGTTTTGGTCTGATTTCAATATAACTTGGCACACAAGTAGACTACACTAAGATACATAATTCTGTGTATCGGTTTTTGATTTGGATGAACGGTGTTGCCGTGGTTACTAAAAATAGAAATTTCTGTGAAATTCTTTCAAAATGCTACTTCTCCTACAGTTTTGGTCTGATTTCAATATAACTTGGCACACAAGTAGACTACACTAAGATACATAATTCTGTGTATCGGTTTTTGATTTGGATGAACTGTGTTGACGTGCTTCTAAAAATAGAAATTTCCGTGAAATTCTTTCAAAATGGTATTCCTCCTACAGTTTTGGTCTGATTTCAATATAACTTGGCACACAAGTAGACTACACTAAGATACATAATTCTATGTATCGGTTTTTGATTTGGATGAACGGTGTTGCCGTGGTTATTAAAAATAGAAATTTCTGTGAAATTCTTTCAAAATGCTACTCCTCCTACAGTTTTGGTCTGATTTCAATTTAACTTGACACACAAGTAGAACACACTAAGGTACATAAATCTATTTATCAGTTTTTGATTTCGATGAACTGTGTTGACGTGCTTCTAAAAATAGAAATTTCCGTGAAATTCTTTCAAAATGGTATTCCTCCTACAGTTTTGGTCTGATTTCAATATAACTTGGCACACAAGTAGACTACACTAAGATACATAATTCTGTGTATCGGTTTTTGATTTGGATGAACGGTGTTGCTGTGGTTACTAAAAATAGAAATTTGTGTGAAATTCTTTCAAAATGCTACTTCTCCTACAGTTTTGGTCTGATTTCAATATAACTTGGCACACAAGTAGACTACACTAAGATACATAATTCTGTGTATCGGTTTTTGATTTGGATGAACTGTGTTGACGTGCTTCTAAAAATAGAAATTTCCGTGAAATTCTTTCAAAATGGTATTCCTCCTACAGTTTTGGTCTGATTTCAATATAACTTGGCACACAAGTAGACTACACTAAGATACATAATTCTGTGTATCGGTTTTTGATTTGGATGAACGGTGTTGCCGTGGTTATTAAAAATAGAAATTTCTGTGAAATTCTTTCAAAATGCTACTCCTCCTACAGTTTTGGTCTGATTTCAATTTAACTTGACACACAAGTAGAACACACTAAGGTACATAAATCTATTTATCAGTTTTTGATTTCGATGAACTGTGTTGACGTGCTTCTAAAAATAGAAATTTCCGTGAAATTCTTTCAAAATGGTATTCCTCCTACAGTTTTGGTCTGATTTCAATATAACTTGGCACACAAGTAGACTACACTAAGATACATAATTCTGTGTATCGGTTTTTGATTTGGATGAACGGTGTTGCCGTGGTTACTAAAAATAGAAATTTCTGTGAAATTCTTTCAAAATGCTACTCCTCCTACAGTTTTGGTCTGATTTCAATATAACTTGACACACAAGTAGAACACACTAAGGTACATAATTCTGTGTATAGTTTTTCACTTCAATGAACGGTGTTGCCACGGTTACTAAAAATAGAAATTTCTGTTTAATACACTCAAAATGCTACTCCAAATACAGTTTTAGTCTGATTATAATGTAATGTGGCATGCAAGTAGACTACACTAAAACATAAAGGGACTAAATCAAGGATCATTTTTCTATTAATTGCTGTTGAAAAGTTTCAATTCCCAACTGCCTAAGTACTTTTCTCTTCTTTTGCTATAAGTACAAACCAGTAGAGCTTCAGTCTCGACAGAGACTTCTGGTTGAATAACAAAACAGCAAATAAAAGATGTAACAAATAAAAACAAACTTGGTTTATATATAACTGTCAGAATTTACTTGACCCCTTATCTTATTTCTCTCTCTGGACAATATTTATATATTACAAGATATTTGAATTCTTCAAAGGAAATGAGGCTATACACGCACTAACCCTGAACACATCTTCTCTGTATGTAAAACTCCAGAAGAAAAATGGCGAAGAGTTTTATCGGAGTTACCCAGATTTTTCTATTTCGGACGCGAGAGATGATTATCAATTGCGCATTGGACCCCATTCTAAAATGTCTGCAGGTAAAATAATATATCATGAACAAGGTGCTCATCGACGACATGTGATATTTTAATTTGATTTTGCTAAAATCAATAGAAAAGTCTTTCTAAGTTTAATTTGTGTTCATGTCTGTAAATTTGATAATAACTAAATGTTAACCTTTTGCAACGTACTTTATTTAAGTTTCTGATGTCACGGAGTGCAATGGATTGACATCATTTCTCTGTAAAAATGAGAGATGTATCAGTGATCAGAAAGAGTGTAATGGTGTAGACGACTGTGGAGATGGATCTGATTAGGAGGAGTGTGGTAAGCAAAATAATCAAAGTACTAAAAGGACTGGAATAGGATGACATGGTGTTTTTTTTTTCAAAAGAATCGTTGAATTAAATTAACCAATCTTTACTCTAGAACATTGTTTTTATGTTAATTGAGTCCTTGATTTTAGCTTATAACGAACTCCCTCGCAAATATGCTAAATTCGTGTAAAATTAACTCTGAAGTATGATCTAGGGTAATACACATAAATGGTTCAAGTTAAATTGGACAAAATCGCAATATCACACTTGAACACTGATAATGCGAATCTAGATAACAATATACAAAGATCTGTTTAGGATAGTTTGCGAAGGTTATTTGCAAGTTTATTCACCCTTGTTCGTTTCTAGATGAGGAAGAGTTGTTGGTCTTTGCATACAGAACGTCTCTAAACGTGATGTCACTATCCAACCTTACTTCCCATGTTGTCCCATTACAAGGCGTTAAAAATGCCATTGCTGTTGACTTTGATCCTGTAGAAAAACAGATATATTGGTCAGACGTTACACTAAATACAATCAACAAAGCCTTTCTGGATGGTTCGGGTAATTATTGAATACATGCTTCAATCCATAAGTGTTATATTAGTATAAATCGATGCATCGTAGTAATCGTATGATATTTTGGAGGAGGAAATTGGCTAGGCCACGGCATTATTGAGACCCAATGGCCATAAGCCTGTTTGAAGAGTTAACTTGAAGTATTTATAACATTTCACATTTTAAGCTCACCTCAACGAAGTTGGGGGGAGCTTATGTGATACCCTCGGCGTCGGTGTCAGCGTCGGTGTCGGCGTCGGCGTCCCAGGTTAAGGTTAAGTTTTTTGGAGCAGTTTTCTTTTTAATTACTTCTATGTCCTATACTGATTAGATATGCATGGAAGATGGTTTTAGTGTGTTTTATTGTACCAGACAAAGTTTCAGATGCTGCAATTTCAGCAAAGGAATTACCAGGTTAATGTTTTTGGAGCAGGTTAACATTTTTGGTGCAGTTTTTGGTGTGGGTTTCATTTCCAAGTAACTATAAGCCCTATGTTGACCAAACTTGCATGGATGATACATCTAAGGATGCATACTACCGGGCTTGCTTCGGATCCTGAATCTGACCTACATTTTCCGGTTGAGTGAACAGGTTAAAGATTTTGGTGTAGGTTTCATTTCCAAGTAACTATAAGCCCTATGTTGACCAAACTTGCATGGATGATACATCTAAGGATGCATACTACCAGGCTTACTTCGGATGCTGAATCTGACCTACATTTTCCGGTTGAGTGAACAGGTTAAAGTTTTTGGTGTAGGTTTCATTTCCAAGTAACTATAAGCCCTATGTTGACCAAACTTGCATGGATGATATATCTAAGGATGCATACTACCGGGCTTGCTTCGGATGCTGAATCTGACCTACATTTTCTGGTTGAGTGAACAGGTTAAAGTTTTGGTGTAGGTTTCATTTCCAAGTAACTTTAAGCCCTATGTTGACCAAACTTGCATGGATGATACATCTAAGGATGCATACTACCGGGCTTGCTTCGGATGCTGAATCTGACCTACATTTTCCAGTTGAGTGAACAGGTTAAAGTTTTTGGTGCGGGTTTCATTTCCAAGTAACTATAAGCCCTATGTTGACCAAACTTGCATGGATGATACATCTAAGGATGCATACTACCGGGCTTGCTTCGGATGCTGAATCTGACCTACATTTTCCAGTTGAGCGAACAGGTTAATGTTTTTGGTGCAGGTTTCATTTGCAAGTAACTTTAAGCCCTATGTTGACCAAACTTGCATGGATGATACATCTAAGGATGCACACTACCAGGCTTGCTTCGGATGCTGAATCTGACCTACATTTTCCGGTTGCGTGAATAGTTAAAAGTTTTTGGTGCAGGTTTCATTTCCAAGGAACTATGAGTTCTTTAATGACCAATCTTGCATAGATGATACATCTAAGAATGTATACTTCCAAGCTTGCTTCGGATGCTGAATCTGACCTTCTTTTTGTGGATGAGTGAAAATGTTAGTTTTGATGCATGTTTCATTTCCAATAAACTATGAGCCCTATAATGAGCAAACTTGCATGGATGATACATCTAAGGATGCACACTAATGGACTTGCTTCGGATGCTGAATTGGACATACATTTTTCAGATAATAGACAAGGTAAAAGTTATGGTTGCAGGTCTATTTCCAAAAACTATAAGGCTTATATAACATTGTATAAACCAAACTTGCACAAATGCTGCATCAAGAGATGAAAACTCTCAAATTTGCTTCAGATGCTGGATTTTCATTACATTTTCATGAAGAAGAAGTAGTTAAAAAATTTTTGTAGGTCTATTTCAAAGTATCAGATCAAAATTGCTTTTAAAAATATTTTCATTTTTGGAATGTATACTTTTTGTTGGTTAATTGTGTGACTTTGCCTTACTTAAAGACAACATTCGTTGAGGTGAGCTCTGTAATCTCTGATTACCTATGTTTTCGGTTTGTGATTATTTTTGTCTTTCATTTAAACTAACACTTATAGTGAGCATGTATTTTAGGACAACAAATTGTGATCAATTCGGTCCCTCAAGCAAGTGGAATAGCGTTAGACACGGTAAATCGTAGGCTGTATTGGACAGATGCTGATAAAGGCACGGTTGAAATGTCAGATTTAGATGGTGGACAGAGGATGACGATCGTCACGGATGGCTTAACGATGCCAAGAGACATAGCAGTAGACTCGAAGAACAAGTAGAATTTTATTTAATTATACCCCCGCTTGAAAAGAGGGCGGGTATATAGTAATCGGTATGTCCGTCCGTCCGTCCGTCTGTTACGCTTTGGGGTACCTAGTATCTCTTTTCCGCAACTCCTCCCATACTGTAGATCACTAAATTTTCGCGACACCTTATTTTCGCGAGATAGTCATTGACTCTTGATTAGCGAGATAAAATTTTCACGAACTGTGGTTATTGCTCTATATAATCATAAGGAATACAATTATACGCGAGAATTTAATTTTCGCGAGCACACTGTCTCGCGTAATTACGCGAAAATAAAGTTCTCGCGAATAAAAAGTGATTTACAGTATCACTGAATGAAATTTGATGAATCTTTCACAGAATCTTTATTACATAATGCCATTGTGTACATGTACCTCCTATTTTACTTTTTGACCCGACACATAGTTTGGGTTTCCCACAGCAAAACATGGACACTGCCATTATTTTCATATGGGAGGCGGGGTATCATTTAGAGAGCTCATTGCTTACAGTACCTCGTTAACATTTGTAATGCTAAGTTACGGTGTATAAGGCATACGGGAACCCGTTTTTAGTCTAATACAAAGTTTATAAAGTTGTTTGAAAAATAATTCTGATGTATTCATTTAAGGTAGAACCTATGTCGGAAAAGTCTTTGTCACTAGATTTTCAAATTTTTCAAAATGATAAATTAGTACCGGTACTTGCTTCTTAATCAGCAAAAAGCTCACGATATGTTTCCTTGCTTTTAAATCTAGTACAGCCTGTGAAACTTGGTATGGTAATTACATACTGCGACTACACATTTTCAGTTATTTTGGGGGGACACTTGTCAAGAAGAGAATATGAAAAATCACAAAAATACCTCTTCCAAGATCATCGTCTTTTGACTTAATCAACTGCACAATATTAAGCAATATTAATATTTCTCAAGAATAATTTCTTTTTTTATTCAATTGACATAAAAGATAAGTCAACATTTAAAAAAAAAAAAAAAAAAAAAAGTAGGCAAATGAACTTTGTCACAATGTTTTCAATCTTTAATATGATGAAGAACATACCCAAATAATTACAAAAAGGGATTAGAATATATACCTTTCGCTTCTAACTAATGAGAGATAGGTTATTTACCGATGCTTATATTCTTGACCTTTTTGCACTTACACGGAATTTAATTATTAATGTCTGTTTGGGTTTACTTTCAGATTAAAAATGTTTATCAAAAATTGTACTTTTTGTTTAAAAAGATCATATTTAATAGAAAAATTGTAATAATACACCAAGAATATGAATAAGTAACAAATAATCATAAAAAGGAATTCACATCAATTCATGATAGATATCAAAAAATGTACACACGGTCGCACGATCTACAACACGTACATGTACATGTACATCATTGACTTAGACTCATTTCATCAGGATATCACGTACAGTATTTAGTTGGCAACTGAAGATTTATTGGGATTTTTGCATTCCTTCAAAATGGTTACGTCGCCTGCGTGGCGCAGTGGTTAGAGCGTCTGCTCTAGAGTCGCGAAGTAAGAGTCAATCCTTACGTCGCGGGTTCGAATCCCACTGCGGGACGTGGAGACCGGTCCTTCGGATGAGACCGTATAAATCGAGGTCCCGTGTCGCAGTAGGTGCTGGCACAAAAAAGACCCCTCCCTGCTCAATGGCCCTAAGTGCCGAGTATAAGACAAAATTTGCAGCTCTCCACCGGTAAGTGGTGGCGTCTCCATATGAGTGAAAAATTCTCGAGAGGGACGTTAAACAATGTACAATCAATCAAAATGGTTACATACCATTCACATTATTACAGTAAGTTGTATACATTGTAATTTCATTACACAAGATAGTCTTGGATTTGTCAACTTAATTAAGGTTAAGATCTAGTAAATGAAAGGTACCTACAGGTTTCTCCAATACCAGAAATATTTTGTCATTAAGCATTATAACCAAAAAATATATAAATTGAATTAAGATTATTTCGGCATGATTTTGAATTAAATTCTGTGGATTTCAAAATGCAGTATTTTCTGTAAAGTACGGGAAAAAGTAACATTGAATTAATTCTGACATCATAATGGATCTAGCACAGGCTAAACACATTCACTAGTTATGATGTCGTACGACGTAGGTTCTACGTTAAATGGTGTTTAAAATATTAACTTCACAAATGTAGATTCTTTTTACGGGTTCTTCCTTATTTATTTATTTTTCTATTACTATCATAATGATCGTGCGCGAGTGAAAAATATCATGCCTTTCTCTTAAAATAACGAAAAGACCTAGACGCCAAAAGGCTGAAGAACAAATGATAGAATTTGTAATCACTTCTTAGGTCTATTTTAACAAAAAGGATTCCAAAATACTAGGACAGATTAAAATATAAATCCATTTAAATATCATTTTTATGAACGCATAATGCCTTTCTAAAACTTAATTTCATTATTACATTTTCTCTATGTATGTTGCTTCCAGTACAATTCCTTACATGGCAAGATTTTTTTAAGATCGGGAAAAAAATTAAATAAAAACATGCCTCAATTAATTTTAAAAAGTCGTCTATTAATCTTATCAAGTTTATTTGAGAGATGAAATCATCGTAAATATATAAACAATATTTCTGCTCGTCATTTCTGTGACGTGTCATAGTTGTGTAATAGTATTCTGTATTTTATTGCTTTACCATCAGTTACTTACAGAATGAAACATATAGTTATATTGAATTTAAATGATTTTATTCAACAGAAAGCTCTATTGGTCAGACGTTGGGGGAGATACCAAGATAGAAAAATCAAACCTGGATGGCACAGATAGAGTTGTTATTGTGAACACTTCTAATGGATGGCCAAACGGAATTGCACTTGATACAGATAATGGTATAATATACTGGGGTGATGCTAGATTGCATCGCATCGAGATGGCCAATTTGGATGGATCTAATAGAAGCATTTTGTTGAGCAGCGAAGTAAAACATCTTTTTGGACTTAGTCAGCTAGGTATTGTGTTTTTCTTAGAAGCATTTTCCTGAGCATTCATGTAAAACAGGTTTTTGGACTTAGTCTTCTAGATTATGTATTCTTCGACATGTGTAGGTAATGTGACTTTCCTTTCAAGAAATTCAAGTATTTTTTCAGTAAACGTACTTGTTACATGTACGTATACACTTACAAAAACACCTACTGCAATTTTCAACAATGCTTTCATTAAATTTCAAATGACCTACAGCTATTTTTCTTAAGTACATTCGTTCGAATAGGTTTAATTAAGTCGTACATTAGTTTCTGTTAGTTATGTGGTTAATTGCCATTACAAAGACACGAATCTGACATCTGAATTCTGCACTTCATTAATAACTTCTTTTGAAAGAGACTCTTACTCACAATGTCTTAAATTGTTCCAAATACAGCTAAATCAATTACATATACGGCTTTAATATAAATTTTGCACTTTACTTTCGATTTAAATTTAAAAGTGTAAGAAATGAAAATAAAACATGCATTCTGAATTTATCAAAACAATCAAATGAGTAAGATGAAACATATGGATACAAAGAACAGTACTGAAGATCAAAAGTCCATAAAACAATATAGAATAGGAGCAGAGCAAAAACAGACCTCCAAAACATCAGAGGTGGAATCAGGTGCCATGATATAAGATAATTGTATTACAGCTTATTATGTTCCCCAAACGAAGTTGGGGAACATATTGTTTTTACTCTGTTTCTTATTATTATTATTATTATGTCGCCCCGAACGAAGTCGGGGACGACATATTGATATTGTACGCATGTTTTTTTTATCCAGGCTGTTTCTCGGAGATGGCTGGGACAATCTTCCTGAAACTTTCCTCAAAGGACGATCACTGGTTGTAGTTGTGCAGTGAGGTCGTTCAGTTCCAATATGTCTACCGTTGCCATGGAAACCTGTAAAAAGCGACAAATTTTGTCCGAGAGTGTTCTCTCTGGTCCCTTAAACGTTCGTCATGAAACTTTTCTTATTTTAAGGATTAGTATCTGTAGTTCTGCAACTCGTATTTAAAATTTTCATATAATCGATTATTGCCATGGAAACCAGGTGAAAGTAAAAATTCTTTAATTTCGATTTTCTCAATAACTACTTAGGCAATCGTTTTGAAACTTTCAATGTTTATTCCTTGCAATGTGTCAAAGTGATTTCTACTTTCAAAATAATTGTAATGAGTCGCTCACGGTTGCCAAAGAAACGAAACAGAAAAAAAGATTCAGATGTACACATGTGTTCTCCAAGGTCTAGGTCAAAGGGTCAAAGTTCGTCGTATCCAATAAAAGTTCTTTTCACAAGGATTACATATTTGAAATACGAAAGCCCTAGTACTTACCGTTCAAACGTTATGGCTATTTACTATGTTCAAGACGACCCCCCCCCCTTTTTTTTGAAGCACACAGCCAAGTAGAATACACAGATATAACATATACAACTTACAAGTAACTTTTTAAAATCTTCATTCATAAAATTCAGTTCCCGTCATGTGATATTTTGCCATCATTCATTCTCCTTCTGTTTTGTCTCTTGAATTTATAAATATTTTATTTTATCTATATAAAAAAAAAATAACGATTGTCAGCTGCATTTATTATCATTTCGCGTTTTCTTGTATATCTATCACTTGTATATTATTCATTTCATTAGATAGTGCAAGTATAAATTAAAAAATTGGTACGTCATTTCCATAGTTTTTATTCATTCATAAATTCTTTGATCCGCTCCTGATGGTTCGCAAAGCCTTGATCACCACTGTATACAAAACATTCATCTCGCCGAAAATGTTCATGATTCCGCTAAACTGAGAAAGTTCACACATGATTTATCATCTCATAACACACATCAGCTCTCTGCAATGCAGAAATGCTCGAATTGATGGTGGCATGTCAGATTCGTTTTTCGGTAGAACCTCTAAAATGAAAGTGAAAGAGGGAAATTTCAGAGTTCCCACTGGCGTTACAATACACAAAATAATTCGGCTGATCTTCTTCATAAATTACATTTCCCAAGCTTTTATGATAGGAAAGATACTGCCAATTAACAAGTATGAGGCTCAGTTCAGTACATCTGCCAGATTTCGTTTATGCAAGTCTGCAAATTGAGAAACTTGTAATTTTCCTGCACTACTTACTTCTCCTACCGATTCTAAAAATAATGAGAGGGATGTACCGAATTAAGGTCTTTCGTTTCCAATGGAAAGGACTGATATAACTCAAAGGTTTTCAAACTTAGCTTATGGACTTTTGTTTTAGTGATGATAAAAATGAAAGTCTTGTCTAATACGGGGCGACATATGCTATTGCTTGCAATAGCAGACTTTCTAGTTATTATGTTCCCCAAACGAAGTTGGGGAACATATTGTTTTTACTCTGTTTCTTATTATTATTAAGGTCTTCCGACTTCCTTCGGAAGACCTTATTGTTTTCCGTCGGTTTCCTATTATTATTATTATTATTCTTTTTTCATTTCTAGGGCGATATCTCAGCTGTGACTGTACGGATTTCGAAGATTTTTACAGGAAAGATGCACCAGGTTAATATCTCCAGACGTGTTTTTCATTTTTTCAAAATTTTCTTCCGTTCGCGATTTTTGGGGAAATTTGTATTTTTTAAATGGATTTTTGTACACAACTTTTCTCGAAAACGGCCAAAGATATGACTTTGAAACTCATGGACATGAATGAGCATCACATGTAGATGTGCCGAACGTCCTTCATTTTTTGTCGTTTCTACTTCCGGTCGCAAACGGAAGTGAATTCAAAAAGTCTAATTTTTCAACTTTTTTGTTTTTCAATATTTTTCTTTCAGATTTACAGGGTTTCTAGAGCGTCCTCAAAGATATCTATATATGTTTTCATTTTTTTTATGCGTACGTTTATTGCAAAGATATGACAGAACCAAACTTTGTCTTACTGTCGGGGGTTCGAATCCCGCTCGGGGCGTTCCCCAAATTTTTTCTTTGTTTTTGTCTTTTTTTAGTTGCAAATTACTTTTCACACTTTTATAACAGGTGTGGAAGATTTTGCCGATTTTTAAAAGCTATATTATTTTGTCAAATACCTTTAACAATCACGATCTGCGTTGAGAAACTACTGTAAATGAACGTAAACGAAAAAAAAAATACATTATGAAATCTATTTCATGGGATGACACAGCATAGGTTGCAAAAGAGAAGTCGGTCGGAAGACCTGCTTGTTGCCCCAGCAACAAGAACGCATCTAGTTAAGGTCTTCCGTCTTCACGGAAGACCTTATAGTGATTCTATTGTTTCTTATTATTATTATTTTTCTTATTTTTTTGACTTTCTAATTTTGTGCACGCTATTTCTCGAAGACTACTGGATGGAATTACATGAAATTTCCAGGACAGATGTGTTGTAACATGAATTTATTATATCCGAGAGAAAATTTGGAAACTCACTTCCGGTGCCAAGTTACGGACAATTTCCTGAAATTAAAATGACATTTTGTCCGCGATTAAACTCAAAAACGGTAAAAGATATCAACATGAAACTTTAGGGATAATAGATCGTGATATCTATCATCCAGGACGCGACATTTCGTTCGTCGTCTATACTTCCTGTCGTCAGGAGAAGCAAATTGAAAAAATCGTATTTTTCAACTTTTTTGTTTTTCAACATTTTTTATTCATTTTTGGAATGATAATAGAGACCCTTTGATCAATGCTTACTATATAATTTGTTTGAACATTGGTTAATCAGAACTCTAGATATTTATATTTGAAAATCTGAAGCGGACCCAAGATGGCGGCTGTCTCTGTCAACTCCGCCATTTCGCGAGTAGGGGTTTATGGAGGCAGCTGAGCGTTTGACTAAATGATACATGACAAGTAAAAAAAACTACATGGACTTTCACCCTTCAGTACGCTGCAATTCACTGACAATCTTAAAACTTAATTTCCGTTTTACTGCTTTAGTGTAATTGTGGTAGATAAGTGTGTGTAATGTATTAAATTTACTTTCTTAGCGTCGAAACAAATAAAGGCGATAAGAAGTTGTTTAATTTGATATTTAATTTCATTGAAGCTATCACACCTATTCGATAGATCAGTCTATCATATAGATCTTTTTGAGAGGTTTCCAACGGTATATTTCTTGTGATTTTTAATGCACTAATTCAGAAACTATTAGCTCATATCTATAAGCATTCTGTTTTGACAGAACATGTCCTCGCGTTTTAGAAGTAAACAGCTTATATTTAGTTACAATGGTGGACATTTAACGATGGCTGTGATTGGTCAACCAATGATATGACAGCTTATATATTGATATCCTCCATTTTGAATATTTGAACCGTACGCGCATCCTAATTGCGCATGTGACGTCATTATTCTAGAACATTCCTATTTGTCGGTATATAAGTCGATCAGATTAACCGGAATTCTATTTTACGCTGTATTAGTCATTCCGATAATACGATAATCGGATATTACGATAAATTCCTGCTTTTGATGAATTTCATCGAAAATTATAATTTTCAGATATTGCTCGTTTAATTATATCTCTACAACTCGGACGGAAGACCTTCTCGTTGCTGGCAACGAGATCGCATCTAGTTATTATTATTATTCTTTTTTCTTCTTATTTCTTCTCCGGTACTTTTTTTGTCCGGAAGTGTTCTCAGAAACTGTTCACCAAACTAAGTTAAAACCTTTTTAGGGTTAGTAGGCATGTTGTGTAGATGTGCCGAACGAAGGTCATTTTGCGCGCATTCGCATGCACGTGCGGGCGCGTGCAATGAGTAAAATTACTGATATATTTAATATGGTTGTAACTTTTATATTTTTTGATAAAATGTTTTGAAACTCATTATATAAAGATATATAAGATGTGTAGATAAGATGACATGGTCAAATTTGCATGAACTCACGCGCATGCACGTGCGCTTTGCTCTGATTGGCTGAAACAGAAATCTCAATATCTTTTTTGTTTTATGATGAAATGCTTTGAAATTTATA